GAGAGAGAGAGAGAGAGAGAGAGGGGGGTACTTAACAACAACCTTGCGCTATATTAAATTAAAAACACAGCAGAGCAACCACCAGCCAACCACAAAATATGTGGCCCATCCATCCATCTATCCCTATATATCTATCTATCTATCTATTGATCGATCGATCGATCGATCGTCACAAGCTTCACTGCTAGTCTCACAGTAGTCATATGACATGTCATGGAAACAGCTAGCTGGCTCAGTGGTGCTCCAAAAGGCTACAACAACAACAACGACGACATAACAACTTGTTCACTAACACTCGGTCAAAGACCTGATGCGCTGGCACAGGGAAGAAGTAATTCAGCCTGCCAACACATATTGAAGCACAGCTGTCATTTTCTTCAGTAATTATTGGTAATTATGAGGGTTTTTTGTTGCGTTGTTTTGATAAGGGTTTAACGTCGCTAGCAACTGCATAAAGTAAAGTCATATGAGTGCGCGGGACATTACAATTTCTTAGATTGGCAAGAATTAATTTGGAATTTTGTATGGGTGGCGGCCGAAGCCTACTCTTCTTATCACTTTTTTGACCACCAAAGAATCTTAAACGTGCGCAACTTGCACACGGGACCTTCGAGATTATTCACCCTTATCCGAGAAGGCTAGGTGTTAGATCTTATCTACCCTTTGCTTAGTTTTAGTAAGGTTTTTACGGCGCTCAAAACTGCATAAGGTTATATGATGAGGGCCAAGGGGTGGTGTCAACAGGAAAGTCCAAACGGGGGAATCAGACTTACTCTGCTCACCTCTCTAGCCTCAACAGCACAAAGTCTGCTAAGACTATCAAGGCACCCCGGAATTAGCAATTCACAAGAGGGCGACAAACATACAAAAGAAGTAGAGGAAAATTGACGAAAGTAAGGAAGGGAAAAGAAAAAGCAGCAGTTTCCCCTATGTTGTTCCGGCACGGTAGGAGCATGACATTGATACATCAGCCCATATAGAGCCATACAATTCTACTGTGCATAAGAACCTGTTAATATCTCCCCTCTGGGAATGGCCTAAAGACAACTTCAGTCAGTAGCACTGCCCTGGTTGGGGGTTAACTACCCTAAAATCAGGGATGTGGCTGAAAGACAGCAGTAAGAAGGAGCCAAGGAGTAGCAGTAGAAAGGCAGCAGAAAAGAGTCAGGAGCCCAGAGGAAAGGGCAAAAAAAAAAGGGGGGGGGGGGAGGGGGTTGGGGGCAGAAAGTGGAGACGAAAGCAGACGACAGAACACGGTAAGAGAGCAGGAAAGGGGGTGAAAGGAGAACATTTTAGAGAAGAACATTTCCCCCATCGCTGTCATTTTTCGCACCCGGGACCTATTGAAAGAGAGACGAACACCGAAACTCTAGACCATGAGAGCCCGAGGTGTGGACTTGAAGCCCTTTTCAACTGTGTAAGGCTTTTTTATGAGGTGGGTTTTCTTTGAACTACATTTGAAAGCACAACTTTTTAACGGCCATTAATAATTTCTTATGAGGCTATCAGCAAAATACAAAATAAAAAAGAAGTTTGAGTGCAGTCTATTTTTATTTTCAGCACAGCATAATTGTAGTGTCAACTGCAACAAAAAAAGCAGCTTACATTTTAAGAAAATTTAAGTGAACATAAAAGCAAACAAAGCAAATCAAACATACTCCCTCGACCCCCCCCCCCCTCCCCCATTAAAAAATACTATGCAGTTTTCGGGCTCTGGATGATCTACACCTGAGAGGTGCAGCTTAACCATATCCATACGTCATGTTTTACTATCGTATCCGTACGACGTGGGGAACTCTGTGCCACCACTTTCCAAAGAGGAAATTTACTCGTTTATCCGATCTGTACGCTTTGCATAGCAGTCTGTCAAAACGATTTTTTGAGAAATACTGAACATTTCAAAGAGAAAACTACTAGAAGTATTCTAAATTGAGAAGAATACAACCCCCGGGGGTACAAAATGACCATAGGGCGTACGGATAGGGTTAAACGATGTAAACGACGACAAACAAGAAAATATTTACTGTCCTGTTTGGACAAACTAACCGACACATCAAAATAAACAAAATTTAAAATGTAAGATGTAACACAGTTGTTTGCAAAGCATCACAAATCCAAAAGGTGATGACAGGTTACAGTGAATCTCAACTTACTTCATGAAGAAAACATCTGGTATTTCGACAAAATCAAAAATATCGTTAATATTTAAGTGGAAGTGTGTATATATGAGTACACACATTTTTAGACAAAAATAAAACCCAACATGTTAGAGAATGTCGGACCAGCATCATGTGAAAGTTGATTCACTTGTAAAAAGAAATGTACATAAATGTTCAAAACAAAAAAAAAGGGGGGGGGGGGGGGGGGGGGGGGGGGAATTAAACGTCGCATGATGCGTTCGCTGTAAATGTGAAATCTTTATCACAAGGTAGAACAAATCAATCAAAATATGTTTAAAAAAACAGAGACTGTTGTTGCTTAAAGTCTGTACAAAATCAGACAGAACCACATCCTACATGATGTATGCTATTGATGCTGATACTACAGGAGCCATGTTTAAAATGTAAGATACTCACAAGGGAAAACAAAACAGAACATTTCAGCAAAGATGTCATCGAGCAGCAAGGTAAAGCTTCAGCATATTTACAGCAGATTTCAAGACACAGAAGAATAATATGTCAACATCAAAACATGTGTTACAACCATGTGACACCTACATTGATTATCCAAAGGACAACAAAATGTACAGCAACATGCAAGTGACATTGAAGGGAAACCATGAGGAAAAGAAAAGGAGAAAAAACACAAAAAAACAACAAGAAAACAAACAAAAAAACCACATGAGAAAAAATTATGGAAGTCAGGACAGACATCATGCTATTCATACGTACATTGTCACCACAAAAATCACAAATTTCACAGATGCACACGCACACCTGTACACACGCACACCCTTATACAGACACACACACATTTATCTTACAAAAATTGATAAGAGTCTCAGAAGTCCAGAGCTAAAATTTCCCGGGTACTCTACAAAAAGAATAACAACACACAAAGTATCCCAAAACATACGCTAGCTTTTCATTTGTATTTCCCATTTTTATGAGCACATTTCTGATAATTTGTAATAAATATAAACACAACTACCATCTACCATACTCTTAAATGATACTAGGTGGGGAGGACAAGGCCACATAGGATAAAGAAAAAAAAAAAAAAAAAAGTAATGGAAAATTTGTAGGGAAATGTAACTCTAAGTGAAAGAATTTGATTAGTCAGCCCCTTTTGACAAGAGAAGTAAATGAATGCGAGGCTTTTCATGAATAATATTCACATTTATTTATGGTTTTCAAACACAAACCTTCTAAAATTTAGATTTTTATGAAAAAAAAAATTGATGAATAAAAGCTGTATTGAATATGATATACCAAATGTGAGAAAAGAAACTACATGTAGTTTAACAATAAGTCTTTAAAAAAGGGATGCTTTTCTTCTATTAATACAGGGACATACGATAAACTGTGTCATTCTATGCCACAAAGGGGCCTAAAAGTTGTGCAGATAAGACCATAGAGGAAATGAAGAGTGGAAAAATCCAACAACCTGTTAAAGAAATGAAATTGCAGAAGCGGACAGCAAGAGGAACGGCCATTTTCATTAGGATCATATTGTGTGTCTGAATTCCTTCCTTGCAGACAATTCTATCAATATAATAATACATAACCAACAGACCCCTTAGCACAAGTTTAGAAAACGCATAATTATCTTTTCAAACTAATCACATAGATGATGCACCATATTCTCATCAACTGCCCAACAAATTCCCCCCTCAACTCTGCCATAAAACAAACAAACAACCCCCCCCCTTAAAATGACAGTAAGAACCATTTATGTGTTCCCACAATAAAACTGTTGCTTTTTTAGCATTGTTGTACGTAGGGCATAGGTTTTATTTAGGCACAAGAAGAGCCAGAGCTCAATTCCT